CGCGCGCCTCGCTGCCCCGGCCGCCGCCTGCAGCCGGCCGGTCCCGCTGCTGCTGCTGCTGCTGCTGCCGCCGCTGCTGCTGTGCCTGGTCGCCGCGTCGCCGCCTGCAGCCGAGCCGCGCTCGCGAAGTTGCTCCGAAGTGAAGCGGCTCTACGTGGCCAAAGGCTTCAGCCAGAGCGAGGCGCCCAGCCACGAGATCAACGGTGAGGGCGCCGAGGCCGCGGGGGCGCGCCAGGGCCGGGCAGGCAGCGCGCTTTGTCGCCCGCCCGGGCCGGCTCGGGAGGGGCTCGCCGTCTGGTTGTGCAACTCGCGGGGTCGGGCCGGGAGGCCGCGGGGCGTCGCGGGGGGACGCCTGCCGCTTCCCGGTCCCCGGACACCTGAGTTTGGGAGCGGACCGTCGGCTGGCAGGCTGGCCGAGAGGGGGCGGCCGGCAACTGGCGTGCGGGGCCCGCCGGAGCTCCCCTGCCCGCCGCGGGCGGGGAGGGAGAGAGGCTGGAAGCGTCCCGATTTGGTAAGCTCGCCTTCCCTGGCCTGTCGATGAGGCCGGTGGCGGCGGGGGGGGGGCGCCTGGTCGCACGTAGCCCCCTGCCTCCTGTCGACTGCAACGGGTCTGCTCGGAAGTAAGCCGCCGTGCAGGCAGCGCGGCTTACTCGCGGGGAGGCGCGTGTATAGAACTGCCCTTTAGAAACATTCTTTCTCCTCCTCTTTTTTCTCCCCCAATCTCCCCCCCCCAAAAAAAAAGTCCCGGAGAACGGTACATGAGAAGAAGTAAGCTCTCCCCCAGCTCATCTCTTCCCTCATTTCTCTGCTGAAGTTGTTGCTTGCAGAAGGCCGAGGCTTGGGGGAGGGGGACAAATCCTCCCGGAGCAGAAATCGGGGCGGGGGGGGGGTCCTTGGCATTTTTTTGCCAGGTCTCCCGGTTCAAAAAACCCCTCTTGAGCGCACGCGTCTCGGTCCACCCTTTCCGAACAACTGCACCCGACCGGGGCGTGAGGGTGGGAGACGAACTTTGCAAGGCGTCCCGCTTGCAAGCTCGCCAGGGAGACGTTCTCGCGGGGGGGGGGAGTGGGGGATGGAGTGGAGAGATGATTTGGCGAGGGAATGGGCTCCCATTTCTCTCGCTCTCCCCCCCCCCCCCCCCCCGCCCCGGCTCGGATCTACTAAATGAATTCAGGCAAACCCGTGGAGGAATTTGAGGATGGAATTCGCGACAATTGATGCCTCCTGAGCCGCAAACCATGTGGCCCCCCCCCCCGCCCGCTTTGCATTGGGGTGGAGTTTGTAGTGCGGAGCTGCAGCCTGGATTGGTGTGAAAAACGCCCGGTCGGTCCGCATTTACATTTCCTTCATTTCCTTGAGAATTAACTGGGGGTGGGGGGGTTGCGGCCTCTCCGTGATACTTTTCTTCTTGGGAAATGGGGGAATCCGGTTAACTTCGTGGGCATTTGGGGAAACTTTAAAGCAGAAATGCTGCTGCTCAGGAGGTTGGTGATGAGTTAAAATTCATAAATGCCGGGGTGGGGGCGGGAATCCTATGGATGCGGTTGGAAGAGGCGGCTTGTTGGACCAGATTCAGGCCCTTCTAGTCCAGCTCCCCCAGCTGCTCACAGCAGTGCCACAGCACACAGGCACAAAGCCTCTGATACAGCCATGAGGACTAGTGGCTCTGTGGAGCCTTCTCTTCCTTGAATTCGTCCAATCCCCTTTTCAAGCCATCCCGATTGGTGGCCATTCTTCAACTCTGTGTTGAGTGAAGAGGGGTGTCTTTTTCCCTCTTCTGAATCACCAGCCATGCAGCTTTGTGGGGTGAGCCCCTGGGCTCTGGTTTGTTCATTGCTGTATTACATTTACATCTGGCCTATATGTGGTCCCCAAGGTGGCTTACATAATGTTACTCCTCCACTCTCCTGTGAAGTAGGTTAGGCCCAAAGGCACCCAGTCAACTGCATGGCTGAGTGGGGAATAGAACCCGGATCCCAGTCCAACAGCACTTTAACTCATTACTAACTTTCCATCTGGTGTCTAACTCCCTACCACCATTTCTTCTTGCATTTATTTAATGAAAACAAGGAATATGTTGGCAGCTTTTCCCATGATGCAATTGTACGTTTAGCCTCCGAACACTGCTGTCCTCTTTCCCAGTCCCCTGCCCCCTTTCAGTGGCCAGTGAATTCTGGAGAGCGTCATGTCGAAATGTGACACTTTCTTTGCAGGAACTGCTTGGCCTTTCCACAGTCCTGCATTTTGGACCGTGTGCCTGCTTCATTTTATAAATAGGTGCCTTGACTTTTGCCACTCATCCTTCTGCTCCGGGAGAGAAGGAGATGGCTTAGCAATACTTCTGGAGGCTTGGTGGAAGAGAGGTTTTTTTGCTCCTTGTAAAGGAAACGAGTGACTTGAGAGCCAGTTTTCTGGTGGGTAGACTTGGATCAGGTCTGGGTTTGTCGGTGCTGAATAACAGCAGCTTCTCGGGGCCTCCAGTAGCCCGTCCTTTGCTGCATCATCTGCTGCACTGGGGGTTTGGGCTAAGAAAGTCCTGCTTCAGGCAAGACAGAGGGAGGTGACTTGTGGCCTTTAAATGCATTGAGCCCCAGTAATGTCAATGTTGACCGGCAGTGACTGAGTTGAGACAACAGGATTACTCACACTCGAAGGTCAAGCATGACTTGTTGCTGAGCCATGGTTGCTTGTGTTGTCTGAGCTCAGCTGGATTGCCTGAGCAAGTGTCAAGGACATGGAAGGGGCTTTGCTCCGTCTGGAGGCCTGGGAGCTGAATTGGGTCTGTGGGCTTTGGCTCGGCCCCTGGGGAGAGGCCCTGACTTTGTGCGAGAGCCCTGCTTTGCATGCAGAAGGTCTTGGGTTTGAACCCTGGCACCTCCAGGGAGGTCTGGCAATACTCCTGCCTGGGCCAGATGGACTGAGCTGGGTTTGACTGCTGATGTTTCTGTTTCAAGCAGTGCTGAACTCACAGCCACGAGGACTAGACCCTTCCTTTCGTTTTAGCAGGAGAAACATAGTTCAGTGGTGGAGGTTCTGCTTGGTGTGTAGGAAGCTCCAACTCTGATCCCCAGGATCTCCAGGTAGGGCTGCAAAAACTTCCTCTTGAACCCCTAGGGAGCTACCAGTCAGAGTTGACAATGCTGGCCTAGTTGGGCTCCACAGAAGGTAGCCTGGCATGTTCTCTTCTGCTGTCTCTCTGTGCTGCCAAAGCCACTGCTGGGAAAGTGTGCAAACCACATGTTTGCAGATGTGATTTTGGCCGTCTCCTTGGCTGCATCCCAAGTAGATCTCCCATGATCAAGAGTTAATCTTTTTTTCCCTTTTTGGTCAAAGCAGATGCCTCAAGACCCTGCCCACCCTTTCTGCAACACTGCCTTGTCCCCCTTGCATGTCCAAAGCACCCGAGTATTTTTGGCTAGCAACATTGCTTGCCAGAGTAATTGCTGCCCCCCAACATTTTATTCTGCCTCCTCTTTTTCTCCTTGGTTGTTTGTTTCAACCTTCATCTCCTCATTCTCATTCTCTCTCTCTCTCTCTCTCTCTCTCTCCTTCTCCCGAAACTGCTGCTTTTATTTTCCCTTCTGAATGACCCAAGGAACAAAGGAAATGCCTTTTTCGCTGGGTCCTTTGAGAGACCACCAAGGACTTGCGCCCAGGCCCTGCCATTTTGCTCTACTTTCAACCCGAACAAAAACACATGACTGAATGATTCAGAAATGTGGAGGATTTGAGGCATTCATCTGAGTCTAGGATGCTGTCACAACACAGACAGCCCTTAAGTAAATACCTTTACACTTCCAGCAGAGAAAATCGGAAGGAGGAATAAATGCTCACGGTTACAGCTGCTGTCCAGAAAGGCAGCGATTGCTGGTTTCCTTTCCATGTGATAAAAATTGGTTTTGGTTAGTTGGATCTGTTTTTTCGGGAAGGAGCGGAGCACCCGTCTTGCACGCAAGGGGGCCAGGTTCAGCCCACAGCAACTTCACTTAGAAATTTTGCCGAGCAGGTCACCTCCTCATGAAAAAGACCCTCCTTTGCCCCAGACCCTGGAGAACCGCAGGTAATCGGAACACAGCTTTGGACTAGAGGTCCAAAAATAGTCTATGCTGGTAAGAGAGAAGGCAGCTTTGTACACTGGAAGGAAGGAAGCTGGTGACTTGCCAGAAGTTGTTTGTTGGGGAGTTGTGGGTTGGAGCTTGGAGTTGGTGCACAAAAGCCAAAACAAATACTGTAGGAACCCAGGAAGCGATTGAATGTCAGGTCAGGCTGTGGGTCCATTTAGCCCAATACTGCACCCACAGACAGGCAGCAGCCGTTTTTCCAGCACTGCCTGCGGATGCTTCTAGTGAGCAAACCTGGGACTTTCCACATGGGTTCTACCACCAGGCCGCAACCCCTGGAGAATCCCTGGCACATGGCTGCCAGCCAGAGTGGATGACGCTTACCTTGTGCTCTGCATCAGTATAGACACAATACACAACTGTCTTAGCTGCATCTCTCTACCTTGCACTAGGCGTTGTCCTTAGCAAGCTGTGCTTGGTCTTCCAAAAAAGTATCTAAAAATACTAAGGGACCTGGGAATCTCCTCCTGAAGCAGTCTCAGGTCCATCTAGCCCAGAACGGTCCACGAGGTGCAGTCTAGCAGGGCCAGTGTTGCACACAAGCTCTGTGGAAGGGAGATGCATTGCAGCTGGCTGTCAAACCAAGCAGGCCGATGCAGTGGCTAGAAATAAAAATACTGCTTGGTGCAGAGGATCCTTCAGATGGCAGGCAGTGGGGAGATGCGAGAGTCATTTGCATCTTGCCTTGAGAGGGAGGTGAAAGGAAGAGGTGTGAGGAAAGTGAAGGGGAGTGGGAAGGAGCTGCTGAAGAAATAGAGGAAGAAATAAATGTGCTTCAGTGCCCAAGAAGTGGCTCAAGGCAGGCACACATGCCCCAAAGTGTGCACGGGGTTTCATATTCGCAGGAGCTTGTCTGTTGTGGGCCACCTGCCTAATCCCCTGGGTGGGTAAAAATTGGATTGAGGCTACCAGTGAGGAAGCTGGCTGTCTTGCCCCTTCTCTGCTTTTGAGCCATGCAGTTTAGCTCAAAATCGGATGTGATTTGGCAGGTGTGTTATTGCAGGTTTTTGTGTGGTTACTTGCAGAGGTGGGCAAGGATCTGCACACACATCATGCTGGAGAGCTGCACCTTTGCACACCTC